TTAGGGAAAACAAGGTATTTCTCTCCATTTGCTTGAGACTACCTTTGTGTCTCTTAAGAATGGTTTACAGCTTTCCTCATTAAGGAATAAATTTAACAAGAAATATGCAAACTCTAAATATTTTATCATCTCTATTGCTTTTTAAATTGTTTTTCCCCCCTACTGATAGAGTCACTCATTGGTTTTTGTACATGTGACGGCTACTGATTTCTGTATGATAATTCTATATCGTGCTACTTTGCAAGACTATTTTTATTGTCTTAAGTATTATTATTTCTCTGTGTTTTTCAGGTTCATCACATCATCTGCAAAAATCCAATTCTCATGTCTCTAGAAGTTTCTTCTTTAAATGCGTTAGCTGTTACCTCCATTATAATGTTAAATAGTGGTAGAAACAATGGGTATTTTAGTATTTCCTCATAAATAAGATGCTGGCTTTAGAAAAAGACATACATACTCATGTAAAAGAACTATTATTCAGTTCTTTTTTTCTTGAATGTTTGTATCACACAAGTGTTGAATTTTGTCCAAGGCTTTCTGACATCTGTGGAGGTAACCTTTTCTATCTTAGATCTATTAATATGGTGTACTATATTAATGGATTTCCTAAGATTAAATCAACCTTACACTCTGGATTAAATCCACCTGGTCATGGTGTATCATTTCTTTATGTTTTGCTAGATTCTGTTTACTAATATATTATTTAGAACCTTTATATTGTGGGGGGTTGGAATTGGCCACCCCAAGATATGTCTCTTTGGCATGAGGATTATTTTGGTCTGGTTACTTTTAAAAACTGCAGACATGAGAGAAATTCTGAAAAGTAGAAGTTACCATTTGTAAGAGACATTTACATTTGTAAGGGAAATCTCCATCTGTAAAGATGTGTCCCTCTCTGCACCAGGAAGAAGGGGGATGACCTTATCTCTAAAAACTCCTTATCAATGTGGAAGGCAAAGACAAATCTGCATAATAACCTTACTCTTGTTTACTGTACTTTTCTGGTGATCTCCCATAACTGACTCCCCACACCCGGAACATCCTCCTTTGTAGCTGAAGATGATATTTAAGAGGAGAATCTCGCCATTTTGACAAGTTGCTCAGTTTTCCTGAGCCTCTCCCATGTATACATTATAAAGCTTTGTTTAATTTTCTCCTGTTACTCTGTCTCATGTGAATTTAATTTGTAGCCCAGCCAGAAGGACCTAGAGTGGGTAGAGGAAACGTCTTCCTCCTCAACAAGATCAATATCTGTAAAGTGATACTGGTCTATAATTTTCTTTCTATTTTTCATACTGTATTTCTCAAGTTATACTTATTCCCTATATTTTTGTTTATTTGTGCTTTCTTCTTTTGTGATTAAATTTGCTAGGTCTCTAATTTGTTAATTAAAAAAATAGGTTTTTTGATTTATTAATTAGATCTGTTTTTCTATTCTCTATCTCATTAATTTCTGGTTTTATCTTTATTATTTTCTTCCGTGTACTTTTTATTTCCTTTGTTGTTGTTTTTCTAGCTTCTGGGCTGGGAAACCATTTAGTTTCTTTCATTTTTAATGATAAAAGTATATAAAAATTATGAACTTTCCTCTGATTATTGCTTTAAATAAAGCTCACAAATTCTGCTATGCAGAGTTTTATTGTCAATTCATTAAAAATTCATAATTTCAGCTTATATTTCTTTCACCCAAGAGTTGTTTAATAGAAGGTTTATTTATTCCTAGGTGAAAGAGCCCCCTTGAACAGTAATTTCTACTATTCTTTTTGCATTGTGATCAGAGTACTGTCTGTAATACTTCTACTTTATGAATTTACTGTTTTCTTTATGATCATATACATTACATGATCATTTTTGTGCCTGTTTCATCTGCACTTAAGAAAGAAAAAGGTATACATCTGTTAACAAGTGTAAAGTTCCATACAGCCATTAGGTCTACCTTATTGACTTCGTTGTCTAGGTCTTTTATATCCTTACTTATTTTTTGTCCATTTGATTTGTCTTATACTGAGAATAGTATGTTGAAGTCTCCTATTGTCACTGGGTTTCTATCTTTATCTCCTTTTATCTCCTATTTAGGTGGATGCCATTATTTGATACATAATCCTAACAGTTATATCTTAATTGCAGCTTTCACCATTAAACCATATCCTTCTTTGTGATGTTTAATGTGTTTTGATTTAAATTCTATTAGTCTGATACCAGGTTTGTTATCTCTGCTTTCTTAGTGTTTTCATTTGCCTGATACATACTTTTGTCTATTCCTTTATTTTTAGCCATTCTGAATAACTTATAATTTCATTATAGTTATTATGTGTACGTTATATTTACTATATTTCATTCTCTACATGATATGTTTTCTTTGCCATTTTATTTTGTAAATTTATTTTGGTGTTCTCTCAACTGCAAGATTATTTTGTTGTTGTTATATTTGCCGTATTTCTTTTTCTACATGATGACAAGTTTTCTTTACTTTTTGTTTTAATTACGTGTTATTTAGGAAGGTTTTTAGTTTTGTTCTAGTTGTTACCTTTGTAAAACTAGAGAAGTATACTGCTAGTCTCATTCTCTTCCCCTTGTAAGTTATTTGATCTTTTTGCCTAGAAGCCCTGAATATGTTTTTTTTTATTGTTAATGTCTAATAATTTAGTAGACTATTCTTGGAGTTGCTTATTACAGGTTAATTTTTTCTGGTATTGGTTAGCCCTATCAATTTGTAGATTTAAGTCTTATTTCCAGACATTTTTCTTGGATTACAGATTTCAATACTAGTTCGGCTCCATTGTTTTATCTTCTTCAGTGATTCCACTGATACATAAATTCCATTTTCTTTGCTTGACTTCCAATTCAACCACTTACTAATTCCTTTTACTTTTTTCTTTATCTCATTTTCATTCTTTTGGTGTTTTCCTGCTGTTATACATTAAGTCTGCACTCAAATCTATTCTTCTTTATAATTTAATATTTACTTCTGATATAATTTTGTCATTTTCTTCCATTTCTTTTAGAGTTTAATCAACTGTCAGATCATTTCTTCCTGTTTCTGGAACACTTCTACTCTTAGTTTTTTATTTCTTTTTTTTTTGAGGAAGATTAGCCCTGAGCTAAAATCCGTACCCATCTTCCTCTGCTTTATATGTGGGATGCCTGCCACAGCATGGCTTGACAAGTGGTGTGTAGGTCTGCACCTGGGATCCGAACCGGTGAACCCCAGGCTGCCAAAGCAGAAGGTGTGAACTTAACTGTGGCACCATCTGGCTTGCTCTGATTTCTGATTTAAAATCTTTTATCATATTTCTAAATGCTTGTTTGAGGATATTTAATAAAATTATATGGCTATATTACAGTTTTTTCCTGCTACACTACTGTTTTTCTAGGGGAAGGTTTCATCAGCTGAACTGTTTTTCTCAATTGATGTGATTTTTTTAAATAGTAATTTTGTATGGATGGAGTGTTTGCTCCTCAGGATTTCTGTGGAGAGGGCTAACTGATTTTGGTTATTTATGAAATTTTTAATTCAAGGGCACCCTCTTGTATCAGTATTTCAAAATATGGTTTCCTTATTGTATGGCTTTTGGGGGGAAAGGACACTGCAGGTGGAAAGGATGTATGTCCTTCAATTTTTAAAATATTTTATTTTACACAATTCTAACTATATGTTATAGCCCTTTTGTCATTGGGTTTCAACTGGTGAAGTTTTTGGCTAACGTTTACTCTTTTTATGATCATTTTATTAGGTATTTGGTATGGAAATTCTGTAAGTAATATTTAATCTGTTATTTAACCTTAAAATCTTAAAGCCAATGCTTTAAAAAAAATGTATATTTCAGACACCATGTCTTCTCAGACAAGGGAAACAACAGAAAGAATAAACAAATGGGACTTCATCAGACTAAAGAGCTTCTTCAAGGCAAAGGAAAACAGGATTGAAACAAAAAAACAACCCACTAACTGGGAAAAAATATTTGCAAGTCATACATCTGACAAAGGCTTAATATCCATAATATATAAAGAACTCACACAACTCAACAACAAAAAATCAAACAACCCAATCAAAAAATGGGCAGGGGACATGAAAGGACATTTCTCCAAAGAAGATATACAGATGGCCAATAGGCACATGAAAGGATGTTCATCACCACTGATCATCAGGGAAATGCAAATCAAAACTACACTAAGATATCACCTTACACCTGTTAGAATGGCAAAAATAACCAAAACAAAAAGTAACAAATGTTGGAGAGGTTGTGGAGAAAAAGGAACCCTTATACACTGCTGGTGGGAATGCAGACTGGTGCAGCCACTATGGAAAACAGTATGGAGATTCCTCAAAAAATTAAAAATAGAAATACCATATGATCCAGCCATCCCACTACTGGGTATCTATCCAAAGAGCTTGAAATCAGCAATTCCAAAAGTCCCATGCACCCCTATGTTCATTGCAGCATTATTTACAATAGCCAAGATGTGGAAGCAACCTAAGTGCCCATCAACTGATGAGTGGATAAAGAAGATATGGTATATATATACAAAGGAATACTACTCAGCCATAAAAAAGGATAAAATCGTCCCATTCACAACAACATGGATGGACCTTGAGGGTATTATGTTAAGTGAAATAAGCCAGATAGAGAAAGACAATCTCTGTATGACTCCACTCATAGGTGGAAGTTAAACATGTAGACAAAGAGAACAGATTAGTGGTTACCAAGGGATATGGGGGTGGGGGGTGCACATAAAGGGTGAAGTGGTACACCTACAACACAACTGACAAACAGTAATGTACAACTGAAATTTCACAAGGTTGTAAACTATCATAATCTCAATAAAAAAGTTAAAAAAATATATAGACTTTATTTTTTAGAGTAATTTTAGATTCACAGCAAAACTGCGCATTAAAATACAGAGATTTTCCATATATCCCTTATCCCCACACATGCATAGCCTCCCCATTATCAACATCCCCTACCAGAGTGGTACATTTGTTACAACTGATGAACCTACACTGACACATCATTATAACCCAGAGTCCATAGTTTATATTAGGGTTCACTCTTGGTGTTGCACATTCTATGAGTTGGAAAAATTTATAATAACACATATCTACCATTTTAGTATCATACAGAGTAGTTTCAATGCCCTAAAAATTCTGTATGCTCCACCTATTCATCCCTCCCTCCTCTTCTATATTTGTTTTTACAGTGTAAAAATATTCATTATTAATCTTCTCCTCTTGCTATTAAAATGCCCATAAGTAGAAGTTAGATTAAAAATCCTAAATAAATGTGTCTTTTACATGAAGAGTCATCACAAATAAATCCACTGATACTATGGATAAGTTTTTTAAATATACATATTCTAAATTATGATGATGAATCCAGTTTATACTCTTCCATTTACATTAGTGGCACTAAGATACCCTAATATGTTATCTTCATTATCCACATCATCAAGAAAGATTAATTTGTAGTCAATACACACTACTTACTAAACTAGTAAGATAGACTAAAGCCCTCTGAGAACAACCATCTTAAAAGAAGCAGAAAATTCAGCTTAACACAATTTCCTTCTGGTTAATTGAATTTTTACTTTATACTACCCATACCTTGTTCCTCACATTTTATAACACTCGTTCATTATATATACTTATTCTATCAACAAATATTTAATAGCTGTCTATTATGTGTCAGACTCTAGTAATATGCTGGTGAAAAATACAGATAAGATTCCTTACCCTTATGAAGCTTACATTTTAGTGAGGCGTTATAGACAAGAATCATAATATAACGTATGGCAGTATGATAGAGTGCCTGGGATGGGGTGGATATGGAGATGGGAGTGGTTACTTAAGGTATGGCAGACAATAAAATCTTTTTTGAAGATATGATATTTGAAAAGAGCCCTGACAAAGAGATTACCATACAAACACCTTAAGAAAGAAGTTTTAGGGGCCAGCCCACTGGCGTAGCAGTTAAGTTTGTGTGCTCCACTTTGGCAGCCTGGGGTTCGTGGGTTTGGATCCTGGGCATGGACCTACACACCACTCATAAGCCAAGCTGTGGCGGCGTCCCATATACAAAATAGAGGAAGAGTGGCACAGATGTTAGCTCAGAGCCAATCTTCCTCACCAAAAAGAAAAGAAGTTTTAGGAGAAAAGCAGGTGCAAAGATAGTTGAGGCAGGAACCAGCTTGAAGGATCAGCTAGGAGGTCAGTTTGCTGGGGTGTCGAGAACAAGCAAAAGAATGGTATAAAATGAGGCAGAAGATGGCAAGGACAAGATCATGTAGGAGGCCATGATAAGCAGTTTGGATTTTATTTTGATTGTCATTGAGAACTACTGGAGAATTTTAGGTGACAGTATAATATTTTTTGATTTATGTTTTCAAAGATCACTGATTACTGTATGGTGAATAGACTGTGAGGGGGCAAGAATGAGAGACGAAAGAGCAATGAAAAAGCTGAGGCAGTAGTCCGTGCAAGAGGCTTGCTCCAGGTGGCTTAAACTAGGGTTGTAGTAATGAAGAAGATGAGTCAATGTAGATAGCATGTTTTGTATGGGGAGCTGACAGGACTTGCTAATAAATTGACTTGCGTGTTTTTTTTAAGAGGAAAGAGCAGAATCTAGGATAATGCCTATGGTGGTGCCCTTTACTACAATGGAGAAGAAAGGGGAGAAATTGGAGGCATAGGGGAATGCAGGTTCCCCTGAGGTAAGGAATTGTCTGTCTTTTCCAAAATAGCCCTCACACACATAAGCAGATGTAGAGCTGGGAAGAAGGAGATATAAAAGATGTGAGCACCATATCATACCAGCACCACTTGTCCAAACCAAAGTGCTGGAGTCACAGCTCTAGCCTATGCTGAGGGTAGGAAAGAAAAGAACTTTGAACCAACTAAGCTACTGACATATAAAAATGAATACGTTGAGTTTTAGAAACTGAAATATGATAATTGAAAGTGGCCTGAAAAGTTATGGAATTAGACCAAGATGTTCAGGAAGATGCAACCCATGGAAACAGGGGTTGATAGAGCACAGCGAACAGGTAACAGGAAAAAATAAAACTCTTTCAGGGGCTGGCCCTGTGGCCGAGTGGTTGAGTTCGTGCGCTCCGCTTTGGCGGCCCAGGGTTTTGCCAGTTTGGATCCTGGGCGCGGACATGGCACCACTGCCAGGCCACGGTGAGGCGGTGTCCCACATGCCACACCTAGAAGGACCCACAACTAAAAAATATACAACTATTTACTGGGAGGATTTGGGGGAGAAAAAGCGGAAGGAAAAGAAAAAAAGACTGGCAACAGTTGTTAGCTCAGGTGCCAATCTTTAAAAAAATAAAAAAATAAAAAAAAAAAACCCAAAAAACTCTTTCATGTTTATTCTCCAAGTTTTTCAGAACACTCAATAAATGAAGTTCCAAAAGTGACTCAAGAATGAGGAAGTGGTCAGTTGTACCAAAAAGCTGCTGAGACATTTAATGGCATGAAGACAGAGAGCTGACTTCAGCAATGTGGCAGTGGTTGATCACCTTGATAAAAGTCATTTTAGTAAGTGGTAGAAACACAAAAGCCAAATCACAGTGAGTAAAATAGAGTACAGGAAGTGAGGAAATAATGGTAAAAATTACAGACAATCCTTTGAGAAGGTTAGCCACAGATATATGATACAAAAAAAGAAAACAAGAGCAGGCCATTTTTAATCATAATGGCAGCTTAATTCCTAGCATGCTTTATAGAAATGTCACTTTTATTCTTCAGCAATCTTCTGCAACCGAAGTATAGATAGTGCAGGAAAAAGTAATTTTCAAATAGATTTTTTTCTTACCTTCACTGATTAAATTTAATGTGTCTTGTTTTCCATCTCCTTCATGTGACTGACTTGGATCCAGTGAAGTCTGAGAAAGGCTAACTTCAGCTGATAACTGGTCAAGACTTTGATAACTTTTTCTGTAAAACAAGAGTAAAAGACTACTTGAATTTCTTCTCACAAAAAAGAACTTTAAGAGATATTCTTTAATGGTTTTCTTCAATTTATTGAATTTCTTGTTACTATTTCCCCAATTTTTCCCCTAAACTTCGTCTTTATCATGGCTGCAATATGATCTCCATATCTTACACTTTTCCCTCCACCCTCCTTGGAGGTCTGTCTGTTTAATCCACTAAAAAAGGAAAAGAAAAACAATTTATCAAACACTTAAATCCTTATGCCAATTTTTTTATTATCCAGATAGTTAGGAAATGGGGACTTCTGGTTATTACCAATTGTTAAGACCTTACTCTTAATGCAGAAACAAAACTGACAAAACTTAATAATGACCTAGTGCCTCCTAACCACTTCAGAATTCTTCAATGCCTTGATATTTTTACAGATGTATTACATAACAATAACAAATTTTTATTACAAATTCTTGAATTCAGAAGTATTAAAAAATGTTGGGTAATAAAATACCTATTTGTGTTAATACATCATCAAGCTAATTAACCTCCTTCCCTCATCTATGTACTATTGTGAGTCCATTTTCTATTAAACAAATTAATGAGAAATGAATTATAATTGAGGAAAAATTCAGTTATAAATGGAAAGTTAATGAAGGTTTATTATTAAACTTTCCTCATATTTGTTTTGTTAGGATAAAACCAACTCAAGAGATATATGCAGCTTTGGTGGTAATGACATTTCAGATAAGAAAACACAATTCATTATTATTTCCAAATATAAATGATCTAAAAAAGGGAATGCTTTTCAGGCTCAACATCTATTTCCCAAGGTAGCCAAAACCTATCTAATTTCCTAGAAATGTCATATATTCTACAATAATGTTACAGGAAAGCATATATAAGTTATCTTTCTATAGCTATCCTCTATTCATACACACAAGAGTAGACTGACTTACAAATTTATCAAAGATATGTATATTAAGTGTAAGGGGGATATACACAACAGGTGTCTATTTTTTTCCTCTAAGAAATGAAGGGAAGAATGAGGTGATGGGAAAACTTTACGCGCTTACAATGCAAGCAGCACTCTCACTTTGTAACATGACTTTTCAAATGTCGAGAGTATAAAAGTTCTTAATTATATTTTTAAGTAGCAGGAAATGCTGCAGGAAATCATAGCAGCATTCTTGCTAGGCTTTAAGACCAAGGAAAAATAAATTCCAAATGGGTGACTGAGGGGATATGTGATCTGCTGATTCTCATAATCATTATACCAGATTGCTTGTGCTTTGGACTCTCAGGCCGGAGGGGAATATGTTATCGGGCATGAAGGCAAGGGGCTTAGGAACGCTGGGCCCTTGCAGGAACAGAACGCTGCCTGCATACCTTGCTGATTGCCCTTAAGATACTCCCCAAGGGAATGACCTGGGATGGGCTGGTGTGCTTCAGGGGATGAAGAATAGAACCTTTGGACTCTGGCCTGCGTGTCCCTGCAGGCATGAGTTTCTGCTATTGTAATTCCTTGTGATTCTTTACCCGCAAATAAATATGTGGCGATCCAAGGGACCTCATCTCAGTCCTTGAGGCTGATGGTCCCCTGTCCCATTGAATAACATAGATTGTGTCCTGTCTATTAATTCCGTCCGCCCTTCAGCTGGCTGCCTAGCTGGTCTCAGCAGAAAGGAAATTCTACTATTGTAGGAAACTTCTGATAATTATAATAGATAACAGGTATATGAGCTATACAACATGTAATAAAAAAAATACCCAATATTTATGTCGCATTTACCAAATACTAGGCATTGTTCTACATATTATATAAATATTAACTTATTTAGTCCTCACAACTACCCTAAGAGGTGGGAATTGTTACTGCCCCCACTTTAGAGCAGAGGAAACTGGAACACAAAGAAATCAGATTTGAACCTGGTAGCATGGCTCTCATTTTGTCTTCTTAATTACTATGCTATCTTCTCTCCAGGATAAGAAGAAAAGATTTGGCTTCCTATTTTATTAAAAATCTTTCTTAAAGAACAGCCTTGTTTGCTGAGATAGACCATGTAAATTATACTGTATTTCCATTAAAATTTTATTTCTTTAGCTATAGAGGAAAGCAAGAACACAAGAATTTAATAAAGGAAGTTATAAATAAGTTTCTTCTCCAAATTATTTTTCTGTGCCTATTTTTTAAACTGTCTTAAGATAAGTTTCTGACACTGAGTTTTTGTCATAGGAAACTTGTTAATTAATATTCAGTTTTAAAAATTATATATAGAAATATTTACAAACAACAAAATACCCAGAAGAAAACAGACATAGAATTCATTTGAGTATTTTAGGTAAGGACTGAGAGCTTGACAGCTTACATTTACAGTAATCTCAAGGTGTGACACCCACTTGAGGGAGTGAGCCTGTACAAGCAGCCTCTGATAACAGTAACACTAAATAAGCTTTCTGCATGACCTACTGAAGTTCCTTTTAGAATATCACACTTCCAAATCCAAAGTGATTTTGGGATCTTTCTACCCTTTGTCACATTTAGTGAGCAATTCTCGAGTTTATAGGCTTTACTTAACCAAATGCCAATGAATATAGAAATAGAATTTGGTAGACAATGATGTTCTGCAGCAATAATAAAAATTCCAAGTCAAAATTAAGCACCTTATTCATAAGAGAATAACAGATGTACCATACAGTATCTTCTCTACATGAAACTGATTACAGACCCACCATCTGGGAGGAATCTAGTTGAGCTGCTTTCAGTAATGAAAAAGAATGGGTTTGGTTTCCACATTCTTACCTGATTTCCAATGCCACTGGCAGCTCTATCTGATAAACATGTTGTCATGGAGTAAATTATCTGTCTACGGGAGTTCTGTCTTTAAAAGGTCACTACTAAGTCCTGTCTTAGAATTCTAGACTCACTAACATCACACTGTAAAATTTAAATGTGACCCACAAGACACATCAAACCAATTAACAGTCTATTACTATTTCTCAGAGTAGAATTTTTCAAGTAGTAATAGTTTACTTAATTAAAATAAGAATCCAAGATAGTAAGAGTCATGCCTTATGACTATATAAAAATTTAGTTTAATCTATGCCTTTACATTGTTAAATATAATTTAAATTAAACTTGTAGGAATCACGTCATGAACATTTGGGACATAAAATCCACTGCATTTAATATCTATTTAAACATTTTTAAATCACTCAAATACAAACTTCTATACACAGAATTGGGTACTAAATAAAGGCAAATTAAAAGGAAACTGAGCAATAGAACTGAATTCAACTTAGTAAATTTTTCTACAATCTTAATACTTTATATCAATGATTAAAAGTAATGATATGGATAATCCGCATCATTTATTTGCCCAACAGATATATTGGGTCAATAATAATTTGATATAATAATAATTGTATTGAGGTCAATAATAATTTACATTATCTGGTAGTCATTGGGCAACAGACAGTGTGATGCACAGAAAGAGAATTATCCACACGCAGAAAATAAAAAATACATGCACACTGTATAGATAGAGGCACAAGAATGTGCATCAAAACAAATAAATTATTCTTTTTATTCTGGGTTTGATTTTCATAGAAACATGTTTAAAGAATAAAATTAGCAATTGCTATAGCATAATACCTATTTACTCTTAATCTATTAAAATTAATGGAAGAATGCAAGGGAGCCTGAAAGGGAAAATATATATATGAGTCAGGTCAATGCAAAACTTACAAAATGTAAAAGATTTGTGCAGCCTCAGTGCTTATAGAATCCTCCTCCAAAGATACTGGAAACACACAAATAAAACGGGAATGAGAACCTTTAATACATCTGAAGTGATATCTACTCATCAGAAGTCATTAAGAAAAATTAGCCTAAATAGTAGATCATGAAGGACTTACGTAAAAGCTCCTAATTCTCAATAATGTTGTGAATGATAGCCAAATTGGGAGGCAATGATAAATTTAGAAGACTAAAAAAGCTTAAGTAGAAAATATAAATATGATGACAATGAACCTAATCTTTTGGGATGGGAATGTAGGTTGGCAATAATCTAACAAGATTATATACCAGGGGCCAGCCCGGTGGTGCAGCTGTTAAGTTTGCACATTCCACTTTGGCAGCCCGGGGTTTGCCTGTTCAGATCCCAGGTGTAGACCTATACACTGCTTGTCAAGCCATGCCGTGGTTGGCGTCCCACATATAAAGTAGAGGAAGATGGGCACAGACATTAGCTCAGGGCTAATCTTCCTCAAAAAAAATAAAAAATAAAAAGATAAGCTGATGTGATGTAGATTTGCATATAAAGAAACATATTAAAACAGATTTTATTGGAAACAAAAAAGAAGTCAGTTGCTCTATATGCGTCTTAAGGGAATAGGCTTTATATACTTATTTATTGTTGTTTTTACAGTAAGCGTGTAATGCTTTAAAAATTTTTAACATGATATTCCTATGTTTGAAATAAAGGAAAAGATGAAATCCAGCATAACTAATCTTGCCAGGTCTAAATAATCAAGAAATAAACTGGAAATTATATTTAGAAACTTTTATAAACAGTAGAGTAAATGGAAACAAACTTAAGATCTTCTATTGTGAAAGGGATCCTTCCATGAGTAGGTGACAACATAGCCAAGTTATCCAATGGCTCATCTGAAGAAATGTCAACAAGTCCATGAATTCAGACAACACACTCTTTCTTCTCAAAGCTAACTGGGTGAATAAAGTTACAGAACTCTTAGAGAAATAACTATAGACATCCCATATTTTTGCAGGAAGGCGTAATTATAATATAATGACTCAATATAAGGTCAGTTTCTTTCTCAAATTCTCAAGAGAGCTAACTTTCCTTATTAAAGAAGTTTTGGCTACCTCCTCCATAATTTTTAGGTTCTCAATAAATGTCTGTTGAACTTATTCAAAGATATGGTCAAATTAAGAGGAATTAGTGATCAGGTTAGTTCAAGAACTATGGCTTATATTATAAATTTGAGGACAGCAAAAACTGGATCCTGATGAAAAGCTATGATTTGTTTCAAATGTGATTTATAGAGTACTACTCTGTTCTGAAAATCCAAAATCTCCATTTTTACATGAAAAAGTTGGGATTATTTATTCAGACCAGTTGGGGATTTGATGGTCATTTAATTTTACAAAAGGTTTTACAAACTCTAAAAAAGTAGAGCTTGGGACGCTGGGTGAGTGTATATTCTCCAAAGATGAAAGATACAAGATTATATGAGAGTATAAACAAAATGATTACATAGATATATATCTACATTATATAGATAAGTAAATAAATATTTACCAGGAAGCTATTAAGTGCCAGGCAACTTATTACCTCATTTTGACCCTTATAATTCTGTTTCAGCAGGCATTACCTCCAGTATTACATGTGCAGAAACAAAAGGTAAGAAGAGAAGCTGTTGCTTAGTGTTACACAGCAAGTAAGTAGAGATTACTATTAAATCCTGACCTTAAACTCTAGGTCCAGTGATCTCAGTACTGCACCCTAGCTGCATACTTTTTGTTCAGATGAACAAGCATTTTCACTGCTTTCTTTTCTGAGATTACAGTTCCTTTTATTGCTGCTATACTTTGTCAAAACTAGTCACATTAGTCCATGCAAAGGTCAACTAGTAATAAATCTTCCACTCAGACTCACTGGTTCCTTAATAGGTAGCTCTATTGGCAGGCAGGGGCACATACATGTCTTTTGGTTAAAATATTTCGCCTCCCACTATTAAAGTGACAATGTACATATTGTAATAAAAAGACATAGTTATTAGTCTTTAAACTTGTCAGTGTTGGGGCCTCAGGCAGGCCACCCGGAAAGATCCCAGAATAACACATGGATTATTTTGAATTAAACTTATTTGAGAAGCAAAAAGGGCATTCTGACCCTCTTATCTCTGATCACCCTGAAAGCAGGAAATAAGACATTCTCCCTGCATCCTTATCACCAGAGCTACGGGATTCAGGGCTTAGATGCCGGCATAAACAAACCTTGCTAATTTACTACCTCAAGCCTAAACCCTGCTTCTTCAATTCCTCACTATGTACCTCAAATCTAAGTTTCTTTATCCTATCATTCCCTACAAATTTAGTTTCTTTGTGTAAAAGATATATAAACTGCCTGCTTCGTTCATTCTCTGAGCATCATTTCTTTATGATCTCTAATATGTATGTATTAAGCTGAGTTTTTCTCCTGTTAATCTAATCTTGTGTCAATTTTATCATCAGTCCAGCCATAAAAAGACAAGAAGGGAAGAAAGGGGATTTTCCCCTACCCCAATATCAGGATTTAGTATTATAATATTTTTGCAGTTAAAAAACCAAGAGTATCTCATATGATATATATAGACAAGATAAGTATACCAAATATTGCTATAAATTCAGTTTTTCAATCACAAATTAGAAATACAAATAAACTAATATCCTTCCATTAATTAAATATGCCACAGAAAGATAAAATTATATACCAGCATAACAAGATATATTCTAGTTATTCCTAACTATCATAAGGGTATAAAAGGGAACTAGATTCCAATCCATGAAAGACTCAGTCAGCACCTTGAATCATACTGAGCAGCATCGTTTAGTAGATGTTGAAGAGAGTTCTACTGATTTATTCTGTAAATAATCTGCTGTTTCCCTGCTCATCTCTAGCAATGAATGAAACAAACAAACAAATAGCATTAAAACCCCTAGCAATTTCTTTAACAACCAAAGGTCAAATTTATTTTGAGTTCTACCTTTGATAAAAGAAAACAATCATAAATAAAGCGGGTAGAAATTATGTCTGTGCTAAAACATTCATTGTAGAAATGTCTGGCACCCAAGGAAGTACAGAAAGAACTGCGTAGCTTTACCACTGAAATTTCAAAACAAGGGCTCTAAAAGAAGAGCAAAGAAAGAAAGAAAAAGAGAGAGAGAGAATGAGGGAGGAGAGAAGGAAGGGAAGAAGAGAGAGAAACAGGGAGAAGGGAGGAAAGGGAGAGACAGAAGAGAGAAAACAGAGGGGATGGAGGGAGAGCAGGGAAAATAATCAGAAAATTAGCAGAAGACAGATAGGAAAATAAAGATACTGAAAAAACTATCAAGATGGGGAAGTGGCTAAAAGCCAAAAGAAGGTACTACAATTTACAAGTTGCAAAATGAAGATTATCTACAGGAAGACAGGCTAAGATTTTGCAGCTCTCTCAACACTGGGAAACTATGACTAAGTGAAATAGTCTTCCAACACTGGCACAAAGAAATAGGAAAAGGAACTTGTGGCCCATAGGCAGAATGATTATATCTTCCACAGCCTCCAAAATTCAGATTTATCAAAAATGAACCAAACCTTCAGATCCACCAAGAACAAGTAAATATCTCCCTATCCTTTTGTGAGATGGAATTTTGTTTTCTAACTAGCACAAAAATTAATCCTAAGGCAAATGCAAACACCAAAGCTAGAATTAAAAAATAGATAGCTCATTAAATACCAGCTCATAGACTTAATGAAGGACTGGCTGAAGATTAGCAGGAGAAGTAGCTAGCTGATACAATATTGCATAAGAATTTCTCAGATATTTTACTTCCCCAGGGTGCCTTGGCTTCAAAACATTAACACATCCACTGCCTTAATCTAACCTTACCAAGCCAAAGTAGTCTTAAATCCTACTTTTGCTGTAAACTAATAATGAATTCAGAAAAAAGAATAACTGAGAACCCAAAGTGGATAGCCATATGTTTTGGCACAACTAAACTTGTAATTAGTTGGAAAAAAAAGTATTACACTTACTCATACCACTGTTTATTGTGTTTTCGGTAAAGCAACGTATCCAAGGCAACAGCATTGACATCCAGAGCTCCTGGGGAAGGCCACTGGTTGGTGAGGTGGGCAGTTAACTCTTGTCTTGATCTTAAATCATTATTCTTTAGCACAGTCCTGTGAATATTAAGATGGTGAGTGCTTTTGACTTCACTGTTCTGTAATGGCAGAGGAACCTAATGCTATCAATTTAGGCCCCCAAAATTCATCTTTTTAAAATGGTATGTTAACAGATTATGAACAGAACTACAGGAAGGCTAGTTAGGGCTGTGACTCTTTTGTCTCCTGCAATATGGATTTTTCATTCTTTCTCTGCTGGCTACAACAAATTACTACTTGTGAAATTCTGATTGCCTATCTTTTCCAGAGGTATCACTAAAGGACTCAGGCTGAATTTTACATCTTAACTAAAAAACAATAGTGATATCCTAAAGTTATAGTTTATCAGATACTAGCTAAAACATGAAAGAAAGTAAAGATTCCATGTGTATGATTTTCTAGCTTCAATACAATTCACAATGTATTAATTTAACTCAGTAAACAAAAAACAATTAAAATGAATAAAAAATAAAAGTAACTGCAGAAAAATATAAAATAAAAAATCCATGAGGTTCCCATAATTGTTTTTGATAGCAGTGACTACTAATAAATCTTCATGAAAATAATTAAATCAATGACAATTGCATTGAACAATATAATCCACTGGAAATATTTCAACTACAGAATGAAGCCATTATAACAACTCATGGTTTACTTTCATTTTTTTAGAACTGTTACTCGTTAATAATAACTTGCCAAAGAACTAGCTTTTTGACAAAATTTCAACTTCACAAACCCACTGATCACTGTCACAAGACTAATTCAACATTTAAACTGGTGGTTAAAGATAATTTGAAAGCATAATTCCGTTTGCAAAGGTCTTATTCCACCTCTAAAGGGCCTTAAAATACCACCTAGGCACCTACATCCTCAAACAGGAGTCCATGACTTTAGTGTACCAAGGTTCTGAGCCATCAACTCAGAAGCAGGAAGTAATATGTGCCTGCCACTAGCTTTCAGAGACGACAGTCCTGTTGTGAGTGGCAGAGAGTCAAGGGTGTGCTAGCAAGACAATGCTACACTAGAGAAAATCAGCCTGCATAACACCTCTGTTTGTTAACCATGATTCTAATGGAATAAACCCATTCATATGTCTCTGACAGGCTACATATGAATATTTCAGATTTTACAGGATACCTGTGTGCATTTAAAAATATTTGCTCTGCTATGTCCATAAAGAAATATTATCTGATGTAAACATTAGATTCTCTCTCAGAATGGAATACTAAAAGTGAAATAGCAGAAGTCAATGACAATGTATCCCATTAAGGTATTCTTTTAGGCTAGGTCCAACAATTTCATTTCAATGGAAAATGAAAAATTTTTAAAGGACTTTTAAGGTACTTGAATGTTGGTTTTTATGAAAACAGTCAAGAGTGATTAGAAAAATTTTAAGATTGACAGAAAAATCATGTAAAGCAGAAATGGGGAATACTGGCCAGAGAATCTACTATAATAAACTACCATTATTTCCAGTTCTTACTAGATTTTTCTCTTTCACATATTCCCTCTCTCTAGAGTCTCTAGTGAATGTCACTGGAAAACTCAACTCCAGTATCATAACTGGCTTACAGGAAATATTCAGAGCAGGATGCAACAAAGGTAGATGTGCATCTGTGAGGAAATGACATTGGTAGAACTCAGTTAATGATAAGTAACTGAAAACCCTTCAATTTAGAATATATTCTTTCTGGAAAGTGAAAAGTTTTATACCACATAAAATAGAAAAAAAAAAATGAAGTTTCACAAAAGTTTTACACACTATTCGTCCATGGAGAATCTTTGTATTAAGATATTGTCATTAGATCTTTGTCTTAGAAGTCTTAATGTTATTGTCTCCTATGGGAAGCTGGTCCTCTAAAACAGGAGATAAGAGATTTCAGGGTATTGAATAGGCAGTTTTCATCCATGCCACATCTGTTTCTCCACCTTTTGTGGGGAATGTGGAGACAGTAAATCCTGGCACTTGCCCCTCTATGAAAACAAGACGTTCCTGAAGGATCCTTGAGAAAGGCCCTTTCTTTCACCACTCCAGTACACTAGGGAACAGGCAAGTGAATTAAGTTAAATTGAAAACCCCATCCCTGAATTCTGAATCTTGACAAGTCTATTTAGAGCAATAAACAGACAAAGCAGTTTATTCATTCTAGCACTAGGGTTCTGACCAAAATGTACCAGCAAAGGACATTCCTGAAGTTCCTACTTCCCAACTCTCTGAAGTAGTTCAGCCTACCTCTTTCCAGGCCTACTTTTCCAGTCTTTCTGTACATTCCATGAGTTGTTGATATCAACCTAATGAATTCCATCTGTGCCTAAGAGCTGGCTGTGGTTGCTTGCAATCAAAGAATCCTATTACTTACCTTAGAACAAGCAAAATATACCTAGTTAACTTTAAGACCTACTCAAAGGTAATCAATTGATGTTAATATGAAGAATGGGGATATTTTTCTCATTTGGCCAAGCTTAAAAATAGGTTCATCTTAAATTAGTAATAATTACTGTTATTTCATAGTGCAAAATCATTGGCAATTAAATTTAAAAATGTGATAATGGCATTTAACTTTAATTAAAACTCTAACCAATGCTAACATTACTGAGCTAATGTAAAAATTGAATGATTCTAGATGAGGTAGATCCTACTTGTAACTTAAACGTATTATACAAGTCAATTTAACATTCTCTCATTAAGGTAATAATGCTACAGAAAGATACACTAAAGGAAAATTGTTTAATTTAATAAGAAAGTAGCAATAATATATTTATCAATATTTATCATAGCTAATTTTAAGAACTTCCCTGTGATATTTACCTCTAAATTGCTAGATAGCTAATTTCTCTTCAGATTCTCAGTAGGAATTATTCAGGAATTTGGCCACAAAAAGACATAATTCAATCTCTCCCCCTGCCCCCCAGCTTTACTGAGGTATAATTGACAATTAAAAATTGTATACATTTAAAGTGTACAATTTGATGATTTGATATATGTATACAATGTGAAATAATCACCACACTCAACTAAGTAACATATCCATCACCTCAGTTACCTCTTCTTTTGTGTGATGAGAACATTAAAGATCTTCCCTCTTAGAAAATTTCAAGCACACAGTATTCTTTCAAGAATACAGTATTCTTAACTAGAGTCACATTGTTGTACATTAGGTCTCCAGAACTTATCTTGCATAACTGAAACTTTGTACCCCTTGACCAACAGCTCCCCATTTCCCACTCTCCCAAGGCACTGGTAACAAACATTCTACTGTCTGCTTCTATGAGCTTGACTATTTTGGATTCCACATATAAGTGAGATCATCTAGTACTTGTCTTTCTGCATCTGGTTTATTTCACTTAGTATAATGTCCTCCAGATTCATCCACGTTGTCCCAAATGGCAGGATTTCCTTCTTTTTTAAGGCTGAATAATAGTCTGTTGTGTGTGTATGGGTGTTTACATAGACATGGAGTCTTTATATATCACCTTTTCTTTATCCATTCATCTGTGGATGGACACTGAAGTTGTTTCCACCTCTTGGCTATTGTGAACAATGCTGAAATTAACATAAGAGTCCAGATATATCTTTGAGACCTTGATTTCATTTCCTTTGGACAAAAACCCAGAAGGATTGCTGGATCATAAGATGGTTCTATTTTTAACTTTTTGAGGAGGCTCCATACTGCTTTACAAAGTGGCTACACCAACTGATATTCCCACAGTGTACAAGGGTTCCCCTTTTTCCATATCCTTGCCAACACTTGTCATCTATTGTCTTTCTGATAATAGACATTCTAACAGGTGTGAGGTGACATCTCATTGTGATTTTGACTTGCATTTCCCTGATGATGAATGAAGTTGAGCATCTGTTCATATACCTGTTGGTTATTTATAGTCTTCTTTGGAGAAATGTCTATTCAAGTCCTTTGCCTATTTTTTAATTGGGCTATTATTTTTGCTATTGAGTTGTATGAGTTCCTTATATATTTTGGATATTAACTCACCAGATAGATGTTGCAAATATTTTCTCCCATTCCATAGGTTGCCTTTTCATTCTGTTGATTGTTTCCTTTGCTACACAGAATCTTTTTAGTTAGATGCAATCCCATTTTTCTATTTTTGCTTTCGTTGTCTGTGCCTTTGGTGTCATATCCAAAAAAATCAATGCCTAGAGCAATGTCAAGAAGCTATTTCCCTATGTTTTCTTGTAGTAGTTTTATAGTTTCAGGTGTTATGCTAAGTCTTCAATCCATTTTGAGTTGATTTGTGTAAACAGCATGAGAGAGGAGTCTAGTTTTATTATTCTGTATGTGGATATCAGTTTCCCAACACCACTTATTGAAGAGACTATCCTGTTCCCATTGTGTCTTCTTGGCTTCCCTGTCAAAGATCAGTTGATTGTAGATGCATGGATTTATTTCTGGGCTCTCTATTCTGTTCAATGGTGTATATGTCTGTTTTAATGCTAGTACCATATTGTTTTGATAACTGTAAATTTATAATATATTTTGGAATCAGGAAATGTGATGCCTACAGCTTTGTTCTTCTTTCTCAAGATTGCTTTGGCTCTTCGTGGTCTTTTGTGGTTTCATATAAATTTTAGGATTGTTTTTTCTATTTCTGTGAAAAATGCCATTGAGATTTTGAAAGGAATTGTATTGAATCTGTATATCACTTTGGGTAGTAGGGACATTTTAACAATATTAATTCTTCCAATCCATGAACACAGGATGTCTTTCCATTTATCTGTCTTCACTTTCCTTTGTCAATGGTTTTAAACTTTCAGTATACAAGTCTTTCACTTCTTTGGTTAAGTTTATTCCTAAGTATTTTATTATTGTTATTGTGAATATAATTATTTCTTAAATTTCCTTTTCAGATAGTTCATTGTCTGTACACAGAAACATGATTGATTTTTGTATGCTGATTTTGTATCCTGCAACTTTGCTAAATTTGTTTTTTAGTTATAACAGTTTTTTTTGCTGTCTTTATTTGCTTTATATACTAGGTGCTCTGATGTTGATTTATATATATGTAAATATTATATATTTATAATTGTTATATCTTCCTCTTGAATTGATCCTTTTATCATTATATAATGACCTTCTTTGTTTCTAAAGACAGTTTTAGACTTAAAGTCTCTTTTGTCTGATCTAAGTATAGACACCCTGCTTTCTTTGGTTACCATTTGCATGACATATCTTTTTCCGTCTCTTCACTTTCAGCCTATATATGTCTTTAAATCTGAAGTGAGTCTCTTGTTGACAGCATATCATTGGATCTTGTTTTCTAATCCTTTCAGTCACTCTATGCCTTTTGATAGGTGATTTTAACCTATTTACATTTAAGGTAAGTGAGTGAGGTCTTACTATTGCCATTTTGTTAATTGTTTTTTGTCTCTTTTCCAGTTGTTCTGTCCTACTCTTCCTCTCTTGCTGTCTTCCTTTGTTATTTGATGATTTTTTTGTAGTAATTTGATTCTTTTTATCTTTTGTGTTTCTGTTATAGGTTTCTTCTTTGTTGTTAGCTTGAGTCTTAAATAAAATTTCTTATAACTTCTCATTTTAGGTTGATAACAACCTCAAATGCATACAAAAAACACTAAAGGTAAGGCACTTTGAAAGTGCTTAATTATTTTTTCAGTACTTATACTCAATTTAAGTTTTAAACCTAAAAATTTAAATTAAATCTACAAAATATTTCACAGACAGCATTTTCATGAAAATTGAAGAAATATCTTTACAACTAAGTCAAGTAAATGTATTAGGTAGGCAGTGGAAGACGCACTTAAAATATGTGAAGAAACAACCATCTAAAAGTATCTGTGATTATCATATTTTTTTGTAGTGAGTTCCTCAAAAGAGAGAGTCCAGAAAGTACAACTAAAATTCTCCTCTTATTATATTCTACCACTCCCAATAATTGGATTCTAGATCCTTGAAGAGTCTTTATCTTGCTGTTTGTATAAAATTCTTTTACTTGGCAAGTAAAAATATACCATTTGAAAGTAAAGTTTTATTTTTTATATGTAACTATGTTGAACTATGTGTCAGTATTAATTTATCAACTGACTATTTCATGAGTTCTTTGAATATACCCTCAATTGTCTGATTTGAGCATGTCTTTGATGGATATATGTAAATTCAAAATACTATGGATTTATAAACACAAAACCTCTCTATGAAATATGGAGTCCAGCTCTCCTACAAAATAGTTTGAAACAAAACAGGATAGTTTTCAGTTAAGGTTCAAAGAGCTGTTTTACTTTTCAAAGGAAAAATAGCTCAGTTTATTAAGCCCTCCTTGGCCTGACAGAAACATTCAATGAATACAATTTATTCTGTGGCACCTAGCTAAAGCCTGAAAATTCCCTATACCCTCTACATAATATGATTAACACTACATAGAAGTATATAATTTGCTGCCGAAACTTTATTTTTCCTAGGTTTATATTTATTCTTCACATGATTATTGTTAGCTTATCTTAACTATGTACAGTACAATATAGCAGAATACAATGAGACTCTGGATTGATTATTAACACCAAAGACTTCACTGTGAATCCTTTATGCCTTCTCAGGAGGAAATTTATTTCTCAATCTTTTCAAAGAAAAAACAAATTTAGTAGAAATGCACTATTATTTACTATCTCTTTTTAAAACTAGCATTCCACATCCAAGATGTCCATTAAGCAATTTGCTAAAATTCAGTTTGTGAGAATTTGTCACATAAATATGAGCCATCAAGAAGGGTATATTTACACCTCTCCTCAAATTATGTGGAGAATTTTATAGGCCTTTTAATTTTCAAAAGAGGCTTATCTCAGATAAAAATGTCCAGTCCCAATATTTCAATGTTCCCAGAAAAATTATTTGTTTCTAATAATATTTTATTACACTAATCTTCCTCATATGGTATTCTGCACCCATGTTTCCAAATGTGGTCTTCCCTTTACCTAGAATAACCTTCTCTTCTTCTCTCTTGGTTACCAAGAGAACTCCTGAAAAGTCCCATTCAAATATCAACTTCTTAGTGATGATTTCCCTGGACCACTACTCCTGTGCTACTTCTGTAAAGTGTCTATACTTTTATTACTGTACATATATACACATGTTCCTATATACTCATCACATCATTTAGATGTCAGTTGTTTAGTTGACTTTGATATCCTTAAAGTTATCTTATTCACGTTAAATTCTCAGTATCTAGCAGAGTTCCTAGAACAAAGTAGGTACTCAGTAAATATTTGTTTATAATTAGAAAATATTATTTCAAAGGTTTATCTTTCTAAAATGGAAATCTGATATTGGTAACTTCACAGAGCTCCTTAGCATGTCATATAAAGTCCTTTCTCATTTGGCCACACACACACACACATACACACACATGGACACTTGCCCTCTAAGTTTGAGTAACAAGGAGCCACCATGCAATTTCCTATATTTGTTGGACTCTTTAATCTCTCTCCGTTTTTGCTTTTGTTGTTTTCTCTGCCTGGAAGGTCCGTCTCTTCTCATACTAGTCTATCAAATGTCTAAAGCTCTTTAAGGAATTAGCATAAGCATCACTATCTTCTTACCAGTTCCTTCTCCTTTACAATGAAATCCTTTGTTTCCCACTGTAGAGGTACAAGCCTCTATCATAGCACTAGGGACACCTTAGTGCTCTTATTGTTTATACGTCTGTATCCTCTGTAAGCACTGTGAGGACAAGAATTAGAACAAATTTATTTCTGTATTCTTAGCACCAAGCCCAACATCTAAGACAGATGAGGGGCTCAATAAACATCAGTAGAATAAACAAATGTTGAACTATAAAACAGTAAATTTCGGGGCCAGCCCTATGGCTGAGTGGTTAAGTTTGTGTACTCTGCTTCAGCGGCCCAGGGCTCACAAGTTCGGATCCTGGGCACATACCTGTGCACTGCTCATCAAGCCATGCTGTGGCAGTGTCCCACATAGAAGAACTAGAATGATGTACAACTAGGATATACAACTATGTACTGAGGCTTTGGGGAGAAAAAAAAAAGAGGACGATTGGCAACAGATGTTAGCTCAGGACCAATCTTCCTCACCAAAAAGCATACCTTAAAAAAAAGAAAACCAGCAAATTTTATCATTATCAAAATAAGCTATGGTCACATTCACTTTTCTGAATCTAAAGAACAATACAGAATCTTAAAGAAAATGCACCTTGAAAAATAATCTAATCTGTAAGGGAAGATAGCAAATATAGAATATACTCTACTTCAAACCTATTGGAAATTAAATACCAATGCACCTTTCTTGCTTAAGATAAAATATCTAGGTAGCTTTAACGTTTAGGGAAGCAATTAAATTGTCAAGAGCATAATAAATATTTTGCTTTGCTAGATATCACAACAGACGAACTTCTAGTCTAGTGGTTCACTATTCTGACTATATATTCGCATAACCAAGGAAGCATTTAAAAATATTGATACCCAGGGGCTGGCCCGGTGGCGCAGCAGTTAAGTTCGCACATTCTGCTTCGGCGGCCTGAGGTTTGCCGGTTCAGATCCTGAGTGCGGACATGGCACCACTTGGCAAGCCATGCTGTGGTAGGCATCTCACATATAAAGTAGAGGAAGATGGGCATGGATGTTAGCTCAGGGCCAGTCTTCCTCAGCAAAAAGGAGGGGATTGGCAGCAGATGTTAGCACAGGGCTAATCTTCCTCAAAAAAAAAAAAAAAAAGGGATACCCAGATCTCATCTCAGATCAATGAAATGAGATTCTATGATGGTGGGGATCCAGACAATGATATTTTTTTAATGCTCCATAGGTGAGTCTAATATAACATCTTTTTTCTCTTGTGAAATAATAACAGAACTGCATATCTCTCTGGCTGTTCGTCTTGGTCTCTTTTCAGGAGAGATCCCTTCCTCCACTTAGTTTTTAAATGTTGGTGTTCCCAACAACTCCCTCCACTTTTATTCTCAAAATCCATGAACAGATTCCCTGTAAATACAGAGTACCCCCGTTTCAAAAATGAAATCCTACATTCTTTTGAGCCCTGAATATTACATTCATTATTTGAAACAAAAGAGAAAAAAATAAAATTTCCACAGTTTGGTCTCTTTCCTTCCTTTCAGGGATTAGGCTTAAGTCTGTTGTTACAAGTTTTTAAAAAAGAGTTAGAATTCTATACTCTGTATTTTGATAGCAGTGTTTAGCCAATTCACAGCTCTTATTTTATTCATTTGTTTGATTCTTTATCTTGTGTCCCCAAACTTGAGGATTATACCTCTCTCCCTTACTTTGCTTCTTTCTCACTTACCTCAGAGACTATGCTGATACTCATGATGAAGTTAGACTTTCAGATGCTGGATAAACATAAGGCACATAACCCTTGGCACTTAGGACTTAATATCTTTGATTCCAAGTATTCCTAAGCAACTCCAAAAGTCCACGATAAGAAGCAATCTTTTTTATGTTTTTGCTGAGGAATATTCACCCTGAGTTAACATCTGTTGCCAATCTTCCTCTATTTTGTATCTGAGCCACCATCACAGCATGACCACTGAGATGAGTGGTGTAGGTCCACACCTGGGGACTGAACCTAGGCTGGCAAAGCAGAGTGCACCAAACTTAACCACTAGGCAGCCAGGGCTGGGACAGGAAGCAACCTTTAATTCTGATAAGACAATATATTTGAAGCCCATGGCTTTGAGATAAGTTTTGAGAATGGGTCTAGCAAAATGCCTAACACCACTACAGCAAACTTTTGCTATTTTCCACTTATGACCTATTGTCTCATGTGCTATAATTCTTAAAATGTATTCCAGTGCTATTTGTGACATGGCATGCTGAGAAAATATTATGCTATAATCTTCACAAAAATAAAGGATCTAATATATCATAACTATAGTAACACAGAATTTTAGGCTAATAGGCAGAATGGCTAGGTAGAGAGCACTGAAGGTCAGAGAAAGGGAAAGCCACCAAACATGAGGGGTTGTGTACACTCTGCCCCCTGACTCTCTTAGTAACACAGGATAACAGAGTTACCGACCTCCAGCTTCTCATGATGATTTTGGAAGAGGAACAGCACCATCACTCAGATGCTGTTTGTTTACTGTTGGTCTCTGCCCTCCACCCAGTGTAAACTCTTTGAAAGCAGGGACTATGTTTTTTTATTCCTTAGTCACCAGCACCTAGAACAGGGCCTGGATCTTCATACACTCTCAATAAATATTTGTCAAATGAATGAATGAATATCAGAGAAGTTACAAAAGTAATTTAGTATCAAGAGGAGTAATGAGAATTTTCTCTTCTTTATTCATTTAAAGATTTCCAGAACTGGAAAATGCTTATTTAGCTTGTGAACACCCTACGTTTTCATAACATTAATATGAAAATGTTCTTTATTTGTGTGTTTTTGTTTCTTTGTTTATTTTAGACATAGCCATGTGATAAAGATTCACTTTATATCACACTTTTCCCTCAAGTAAAACATTTAGAAAGAAGAAGCCTAAAAAGGAGCCAGGTATCCAAAAGTTACACATTATTTACCCATGAAATATTCTTGCTCCAAAAGTAACCCAAATCTAACCAAGTCTCTTAGTACAGTAGGGGTTTTCAACCTTGG